CATTGTTGTTTGGCGGGTCCGGGCTGGGGATTCGAACCCGCCACCTTAGGTGTACGTGGCTGGCGCCTTAGCCGGTTGAGCTATAGGCGCCGAGCCACAAGTGGCTATTCTTAAGTATGGGCTGCTATCCGTACGTACTATAAGAGGGAATCTATTTTGCTATAGTAGGAAGAAAGATACAACTTAGTAACGATATTGAAAGGATTATTTCATGAATGGCTAAATCAAAACAAATGTTTAGTGATCATAACACTATGGACAGTGGGTTATCCCTGGAATAGCGTACTTTCACCAGTTACATGAAAAACAGCATGCCAAGTTACAATGTTTGGGTTTTGGCTATACCATGAACACATAAATATGTACTATATGTGTAAATTAAGTGAAAAAATGAAGATAATAAACAGGGCACAGTACTTACTTAGTGTAAACAGACTACAAATTCTATCTGCCAATGTATCTTCAATTAAAACAAAACAAAATAAACAAGAAAACCAGCTACATGTTGGCCAGTTTTGCGGTTAACAGCAGGTGGTCTGGCATCAGATTGCTTTGGTCGGAATCCTGGTTCTGCTATTTACCAAGTATGTGACTGAGCAAATTTCTTAGCTGTGCTTCAAGGTTCCTTAACTCATCCTTTAAGAAATATTTCCCTAAATGAAAACCAAATTTAATATTAAACACACGAGTCACAAATGACTCATGAATTTACTCAAGATCACAAATATAATAGCAACAATGCTAAGTAATATGCCACATTAGTGGTAAGATCCTAGTAATTTTAAGCATGACTCTTTGTACTATATTGATGCCTCTGCCACCAGCTTAGTTGAAGACTTTATCACTTCATCTCAGAATTTCTCTTAGTTTCATATCTTTGGCTGGCATTTGGAGGGAGTTAGAATAAACTCTAGCTTCCTAAAGAGTTCTATGTGCTCAGTTTTTTGTTTGGAGAATGAAGTTAGAACTGGCTATATATACTTTGATCACTGTGCAATAACACATAGTATCCCTCTGTCTGGCTACATCTTCCTCAACAGATGTCCACAACTGGAGGACTGAGGACTAAACAACATTTAGGGCCATTGAACTCCACTGCTGAATCAATCTGATCTCACATGAATGTACCATACAAATCCTATGCTTCATATCCCCCAAACATACCAAGGACTTTCCTAGTCAAAATCATTCCCGTATACATGTTTCTTATTCTTTTATCTATTCAAGTAAATCTTTTAAAGCTCAGTAAAAATTATTTCCTTTGTAAGGTTATTCTATCTATACCTGTTCAAAATGATTTCTCACATCCTCTGAACTCAAGTTATATAGGAAAATAAATTCAAAGACTATTAAAATTACAAAGGATTAGAATTCATCTAGCCCATCTCCTTTATTTTATATGTGAGAAAACTTAACCCACTAAAAAGTAGTTTGCTAGTAAAGTATCTCAAGAATGGAAGAAAAATATCCAATGTACTCAGTACTATTATGAAACCAATATATAATCACCCACACTTTCATACAAATGATAAAACACAATTGTAGCCCAGAAAGAAGGAGAGAAGAGGAGGGGGAGAGGAGACGAAGGGAGGGAGGTGGATAGATGGAGGGTAATCAGTGGGACCTCACCTACTGTGCATATTGCAAGAGTACATGCCAAATATATTAAGAGTAGAGTATAAATGTCTAAACAATTAAATAAGTGAGGTGAAGGCTATGTTAACCAGTTTGATGTAAACATTCCAAATTGTATATAAAATCAGTACACTGTACCCCATAAATGCAGGAATATACACAGTCATGATCTAATAAAAAAAGTCCAGGCTCTGCGCCTGTGGCTCAAGCGGCTAAGGCGCCAGCCACATACACCTAAGGTGGCGGGTTCAAATCCCCAGCCCAGGTCTGCCAAGCAACAATGATGGCTGCAACCAAAAAAATGGCCAGGCATTGTGGCGGGCACCTGTAGTCCCAGCTACTTGGGAGGCGGAGGCAGGAGACTCGCTTGAGCCCAGGAGTTGGAGGTTGCTGTGAGCTGTAATGCCATGGCACTCTACCCATGGGATAGCTTGAGGCTCTGTCTCAAAAATAAAATAAAATAAAATAAAGTCCAATAATCTTCAAAAAGTAAAAAATAAAAAGTAGTTTGTGTGAAGTCACACAAATCTAATTAGTAACAAAACTAAGACTAAAATTTAAGTTTCGTAACAACGAAAAGTAAGCTTTTTTCTTACTTATACTAATATACTGGAGCATTTTATGGCAATGAATTACAACATCCTCATGTTTTTCCTGCCCAAGATTTCAAGCAATCCAAAGGTACTATGCATGTATTAGACAACAATGTTTACAATTCATGGTACAATACTCTGTCTCTAGATGAAACATTATTCTTCTAGAATCTATTAGTTTTTTTTTTTTCCCTTTGAGACAGAATGTCACTCCACCACCCTGGGTAGAGTGCCCTGGCATAATAGCTCACAGTAACCTCAAACTCCCGGGCTCGAGCAACCCTCCCGCCGCTGTCTCTGGAACAGCTGTGACTACAAGCGCCCACCAAAATGCTTGGCTAGTTTTTCCTTTTAGTATAGACAGGCTCTTGCTCTTGCTCAGGCTGGTCTCGAACTCCTGAGATCAGGCAATCTACCCGCCTCAGCCTTCTGTAGTGCTAGGATTACAGGTATGCGCTACCATGCCTGGCCACTGAATCCTGGCCACTGAATCTATCAGTTTTTTAGTCAAACAGCATTTTTCTAAACAACATACAACCTTCTATTAACAAAAATATCTTTGCAAAAGACTTACACTTTTCTCCTCTAACAGCTAAATCATGGACTTTGGTTCTCTTTTCCATGAAGCACGTAAATTTTTTGTGTACCGCTGCTACTGAAAGTGTCAAATGAGATTGTGATAAAGTTCTTTATAGTCACCTTTATTTTAGACAAAACCAGTAATTGAATACAAAACATGATAAAATACTGATTTACCTTGTTTAGCTCCATCATTATCAAAAACGTTGTTTTATTAAAAAAGAGCAAATAAGTAGTGCCTTTCTCTGAATCCGTTCAAACACTTTGCTACTTTTCAGTGAAAAACAAGTAGGCGAAACAAAAAGTATGCCCCAAACACACTGTACTCTTCTAACAGGCCCATTGTTGAACTGTGACACAACTCAAACACAAACAATTCCTCAATTGTCTACTGAAGAGGACTAGGGGTAGCTAAATATACAGCAGAAATGAAAAAAATAGTGGTATCTGGAACCAATTAGTCCTATCAGTGGAAATAACTAAATTTATTATGATCTATGGGGATCAACTATGGTATCCCAAATATAAAGCAATTACTACTGAAAAATATGATTTATAAAGCATTAAGTTTACTTTACTTATATTCTATTAAGTATAAAAAATAACTTATATTTTATACAAATAATAAACAAGGTTCACTTTTTTAGTACCTTATGACTGTTACAACAAAACACTAATCAGACTTCTAACACTCTCTTAATGAGATACGAGAACCTCAATACCCATGACTCTCCCTCCAAAAAGCTTCAAATGCCTATGTGAGCAAAAAACAATGAAAACATCTCCAAATCATCCAAAGATAATACATACACTATTAACAGAATGTTCACAAATCAGGAGGAAAGGAGTGTACTCATTTGCTGATTACAGCTATAAAAGATCAGGCTCGCTAGTAAAGCCAGAGATAAAAAAGGAAAAGCAAGAAAAGAGAGGCAGAAAACACAATCAGGGGACTGGTAGAAAATCCAAGAGGAAAATAAAATCTTGCTTCAAATGCAAATAAAGTACTGGATAACATATCAAATCTTTTAAAATGCATGTGCAAGCTAGTAAAATGAGAGGGACTGCACGGAGTCCCAAAGCAAAATGAAACCAAAACTCTAAGGTGTAAGCAATTTACTAACCCAGTTATTCTTGAGGGATTTTGATTAAACCCTTAAGACCTTGTACTTCCACTCTGTTGGTTGTCGCAGGGGCCAAGTGATAAAACCCAGAGGCTGCC